CTTGAGACCCGCCAAAAGATCCTGTAGTAAGATTGCATAAGAAATCATCAGATCTTATAATAGCACACAAGGCAAAAGGGAATTACTAGGGAAAGTCAATGAGACATTCAAGCGCTTCCGATAAGAATTTCAGGTGCATGAGTTTCTTGAGATACGAAACTGAAGTACATGAGTCAAGAAGGGCAAGTGTATGACTTCCGAAAAAATGCGTTTTACATGAGTAAGAAATGTCTCCACGCCAAGAGATTCTTGCTCAAGAAATTCAAGAAAGTAATGTGCTTGACAAAAAAAGCTTCACTAGGGTTGTGATTAGAAGAAAGTCATAAACAAACAATCTGTTAGTCAACGCTTAAAACCATCATAAAATAAACTTGTCCTCGGTTTACAACTTAGTATCTTGGGAACGTGGATTTTGGTGTAATGTGGTGCCTGATAGAGTGATGTGTCCTCTACAAAATAAGACCAATCCTAGTTCTCTACGACTTTCCGCAGTGTCAAAAAACAAGTGCCCCGGCGCACTTTTATAGGCGATTAATGGGACACTTTGAAAAGTGTCCCATGCGTCGACCAAAAAAGTGCCCTGAGCACTTGTTTTTGGACAGTGTACTGAGGAGCTACAAGTTTTTTTGAAGTCACTTTACTTTAAAAAGGCTTGAAAGAGAGAAACAAAGAATGCTGAATATGTACCATGAGTGTTTGACTGATTAAAAAATATTTACACGCCCTTTGACTGAATTTCGAAACCTTAAACCAAGATCCTGGGATTGTCACTGGAAATAGCAGGAACAGAAGCTGGCGGTACTGCAGTCTCCTCAACATGATTATTTCCATCTGAGTGGTTGTTATCAATAAAGAGAGGTGTTGGTAGCCTTTGTTCATCTGAACTCTCATTTTTCAACTCATCATCGTTATTTTCATTTTTTTCGTCTGATTCATCGGTTAGTCGATTGGTTGTTTTACTACCCGTATCATCTGATTGATCGTCTCTCTGATTGATCTTTTTGTTCTTTTTCTTTTTCAGTGAACAGAATTTGTAATCGATAAATCGAATTACAAGCATAATATGAAATGGTTGTACGGCTAAAGACGCAACCAAGAACGGCATTACTGTTGCCAGTACATTTTCTGGTTCGGGAAACGAGTAAAGTAATACCATAAATGCAATACCAACATTTTGAATCCCGGTTTCTATGGCAATTGTTTTAACACGTCTCCAATCTTGTCGACAAATCCATGCAAAAAATCCACCGAGAATGAATCCTAGCCATGGCAGTAAGGGCGCTGATAGAGCTATAGCCAAACTAACCATTTTAAATAAATATAAATGAACAAATGTTCCGAATATAAAGAAAAAGAAAACACAAAATATCATTGTAGGTTTAACAATTTTGTTTATAAACACTTTAACTTTCGGAAAAAAATGTGCAATAAACATTCCAACGCCTATGGGAACGATAATAGTCGCTAGCGATCGAACCAGATCCATATAGGGTATGTATATTTTCAGGTCTTTAAGATAAGCTGCTTTTCCAAGCGTATAAAACCAGAATGGCATCATGAAGAATGAGGCCATTGTGCTGGCGAATGACATGCATGCAGAAAGATTGATGTCACCATCAAATATTAATGTCCATTGATTACTAGCCGTACCACCTAAACGTAAAAGATAAATACTGTATTTAGTTAAATCATTCTATGATAGGACACTACTATTTTCCAAAGAATTTCTATGCTGGATACTAGGTATTCGATCCATAAGAAATATGCAGTAATTCTATAAAATTCTATTGTAAAAACATCACGGATAGAAGTTTCGTAGGATTCGTGCTAGGATTTGTTGATACTGGCAATTATACAATGGTAAGAACCAAGTCCTCGATATTTACCCGGGCAACATCCAACAACAAATAATCCTAGTCCATAAAGTGGTGGATATCGAAATATTTTTGTAATGCTGAACGCTATTAATGGCATTAGTCCATATTGTGTAACAAACCCTATTAACACTGGGAGAGGACGTTGAACAATTTCTTTCAGCACACTCATTTCTAACAACACGCCCATTTGTACGGCAATGAAGCCGATAATAAACGGAATTAAACCTTTAAAAATTAAATCAATTTTTCGTCGTGGTTGTGTAACCATTATTCTAACTGAACATGTTTTGAAATAAGTGGAACTTCCATTATTATGAAAAGCCTTCATTTCATAATTCATATATGTTTGATTGATATACTTAGCTTTTATAAGCCATGAAACTTCAGATGTTTTGGAATTATCAATACCATCCTGTTTATCTTAATGACAGAAAAAGAACGTTTGTTATCCTTAGTAGGACTATTTCAGAAATTATACCAAAAAGGATCATTCTATTGAAATGTGAAATCTAGCTAGAGAGAGCAAAATCATTTTCATTGCGTAATAAAACAGAGTTATTTCTGAATATGATTCTCAAATATTAATAATAAATTTAGTTACACACTGGTAATCATGTTGAAGATTTTGATTGTTGAATTATCCATGATTGTTGCCACTTGAACATCAGAAATGAATGCTTGAAATTCAATAAACTTGACACTAGGATCTGTCACATTATGATTAATTTTTATGACGAAATATTTGGTAGAAAATAACGATATACGATAAGTGTCATTTATACACGAGACAAACGGCATGTAATCTGTTTTATTGTTATCAATTTGTATTCCATTAGTAGCAGTTAAGAAGAGAAGGTAAAAAGTAACGCCGAGAAGGATATACATGAGAGGAAAACCGTTAGAAGTCGTTAGATTAGAAAATGTGTGCGTGTGAGTATGTTTTTAGTATTTTTAACTATCACGCTTGGATGATGATAAGTACAAACAAGAAAATCACACAGAAAGCCTAATAACAATTGACAGGTTCATTTTCAAAGATAATTATATATTAACATTGATTTGATCATATGTAACACTGACAAAGTATTTCTAGGCATGCATCGAGTAATTCTCTAAGGATTTCATATTTTTCAAAAACCTGGTGTTTCGTAAATTGCTTCGTTAAAAATTTTCTGACTCGGTAAGAAGGTAGAGCAAACATTTCTCTACAAATATGATGTTGGACAGCTCTGTACGATTTGTTTTGAGTTTTCGGCAGCGATACTTCGAGAACACACAAGCGAGTACTGGTCGAGTACTCGATACTCGTTTACTACTCGATTGTATGTTCTCGAAGTACCGCTGCCGAAAACTCAAAACAAATCGTACAGAGCTGTCCAACATCATATTTGTAGAGAAATGTTTGCTCTACCTTCTTGCCAAGTCAGAAAATTTTTAACGAAGCAATTTACGAAACGCCAGGGTTTTGAAAAGTATGAAATCCTTAGTGAATTACTCGGTGCATGCCTAATAATAAAATACTGTATTTCTCCTCCTACAAAAAATAATTTGGCGGCACTGGTTGTGCGCACCGATGCCGAATAGTTTTTTTCCGAATGCGCTTTTTTGGTAGAAATATATCGGCATTGGTTCTGGACGGGTGCGCATCGGTGCCAGTCAGTGACCGATGACATACCATGCGAACCGGGGCGCACTGGAATTTTTTTATAGTGTCACCAATGCTATGATTTTCTCTATACAAGACAGGACTTATGACAAATTTTTAAAAATTTAATCGCCATCTTTAATATCAGCAATTTTCTTTTAGGCTTCTGCTATTGAGTTAAGGGATGATACTAGAACAAGTTACATCAGGTAAAATTTTCTGATGTTTTAATCACACGCAACTAACAGTTAGAACAAACAGCTATTAAATATCGAAAAATGTGTATGTCTGAAATGAATGCTCAGCTTATATCTGAGCTACATCGAGTTATAAATAGTATTAAACTACTAATAAAGTTCACGGTAATTGCCAAATGATTGTACAATTTTACTGCACGTTAGCTGACATCTTTATTTCTTTCCGAAAATAGGAAAATCATAGAAAGCATAGAATTACGCTAAAAAAACTGTTATAGAAGTTATGCGTTAACATGTGTTCGGCAGAAAAAACTCAATTTATTCTCTGAAAGCTAAAAATTCTAAAGAGCGATTTATTGAAAAATCATCGTAGAAATTTCCTTCTTTTTTCCACAATACATTTTTTGCCGCAATCAAGAACCCATATTATATCTGCACAATATCTTGGAATTCTGTAAGTTTTTAGAACCAACAGAAAGCACCTAAGTTATAAAAAGGTTTTTGCAGAAATCTTCCTGAGTGAAAAAATATTTCTACTAATTTTTATATGGAATCCAGTTGCGCAGATATAATAGAGTTTGATGTTTTATAATAGTATAGATCGGTTTTGGGTGAGTTATGAACTTTTTAATTTTTCGTCTATATAGCCAAAACTAGGTTATTGCACCTAATATAGGTTATTACTGAGTTTATTAATTTTCTTCGGAAGACAACCAATGCCATAAGGCTCCATATATCAAAGGTACAGTGGAGTCTTCTCTACAAATGAGTGAAGGCCGTAGGTCTCTACCACTTTTCGTTCTTGAGTTATAAGAAAAGCAACCGATGGCATTCTATTTTGAAATGGATAGTACTATGATAGAACGGAGAGAAGACTTGTAGGTTGTTGATTATATTACTTTAAAAGCACTATATTCGAACCTTGGCACCGCCAAATCGTGTAATCACCTTAGGCAACTTACGTGCCTCGGATCACCCGAATCACAGGCGGTACAGAAAAGAGAAAAGTACATTTCTTATTCAATAAAATTTGAGACTCAAAAAAATGATCGTTCAGTTACATAGTACGATAAAACAGACCAAATAAATTACCAGGACTATGTGGTTACGGGACAAAAAAATTGGAATTTGGAACCATGAATTCTGAGCAAATTTGAGAAAAAAACTCCGAAATACTCGGAACAACAATAATGGTATAGCTGAATAGAGCGAAGAAAATTCTAAAAAGGGAGAAAAATATATTATTCCACACAAAGGAACAAAGAAAAATAACATTTACAAAACGTGACTCATGTGAATCACAAGAAAGTCAATAACAAAATAACAGTCAGATATACAGTGTATCCCAAAATTGATAGACCAGAAAGCCGAAGTTTTTTGTTTCTGCTATATCTACGAAGCTAAATGAGCTGGAAGACTGCGTTTTCCACCATATTGTTACTCATGGAGTCTAGACTATACGTTGATATTTTGTACAAAGTTGGGGAACGCCTTATTTTGTAGCTTAAAGATTTTCCTTTCTAATGGTAATTAAGCAAAGTCCGACAGCTGACTGGTTTAACTGACATCATGTTTTTGGTATACACCACTTTCGTATAACCCTCGTCCCCCAAAGGTGCGATGTTCGGGAATTCTGAATCCTCGCTCTCGAGGGTGCGATGAGGGCTCGAAAGTCCCGGAATCCGACGAGGAAATACCCCTCGAAAGCTTATATCGGGGGTTCGAAGTGCCATTTTCCGAGGGCTCGAGCCCTCGGTGAAGGCCCATCGAAAGCGAATTTCCGAGCACTCGAAGTACCCCTCGAACAACTAGGTGGGTCTGTCCGTTGCTCCGCTGAAAAACTATGAATTTCATAAAACGCTAAGGACTTACGTATAAGTTGACTTTTACATGAACAAGCCCATATCCTGCTCTTCCGGCTATGTTCTCTAAACATGCAGTGCTTTTGCAATTACAAAACAAAAATGCCAGACAATGAGCAAAAATAAGAATCAACGATAAAGATGTTATATTCCCTTTACTTCATACTTATTTATTGTTCAATAAGTAAGCGGGTAGAAATAAAACAAATGACTCGTATTTCAATCGTAAGACTAGAAGCGAATGTGTTTTGCTACAAACTGGGGAATATTGGTGTGGTTCGTATAGTAGTACTTTCTTATATTCTATGGACATTTTATTTGCATGATCTAAACATGCATCATATAGTAAAAGGAAATGGTATTTGAAGGCGGATAATCTGTCGCACCGGAGAGTAAATCAAAAAGACTCTTTCTCAATATTATTATATTTTCATGTAACAGCACATATAGGAAAGCAACGACATCTAACTTAAATTTTTCGCTTTTTACTTTTATTCATGGATTATTTAAAATTTCAATTCTCTATTTAATGAATTGATCTGCGTCTGAAATATTTATAACAAATTAATCTGGTTATTACCATATATTCACAGCTTAGCAATATCAGAAAATAGAATACCAGTATGGTTGCACATAGTTTTCTACGATGATACATCATATAACATCACATGCTATGGAGAAAAATTAATGAAGTTTTTTTCTTTTCTTCAATTTCTTGATAAGTAAATAATCCTCAAAAAGTAGAGTGAGTGATGGTCAAAAAAGAAAGGAAACAACATTCAATTCTGTAGGCGTGTCAATCAATTAATTATTTCACTTAGAATTACTAAGATAAACAAGTAACATACGCTAGTAGGAGTGTATTTATTTTTTTTCTGTCACATGAAACTACTTTTTTGAGTGCTATTTTCGAATCCTTGAATGAAATGATTTTTTGAATAAGCATAGTCGTAAAACGGTCTGGCTTTTTTTTAATATTAAAAGCTCTTTCTAGCTACTTCCTCTAACAGATGCAATTTTGTAGACACAATAGATGATACAAAGTGAGGTCGCTTTTATGAAATCTATTAAATATTTTACTACAAAACAAGAATTGATATACCGTTGTAAATGACCAGAGTACTCTGAATTTTGATATTTTCGATAACTGATCAGTCGTTTTTGATACCAATGTTTCTGATATATCACAGCAGACTCTTCATAGTGTTTTGGAGCCTTAGAGTACGTAATATATCCCATATCGGATCCAGAAAGACTAAGCTTTTCTCCTCTGCTTGTTGCTGATGCCTTCTTCCTACAACAAGAAAGTTGATCATTCTGGACTTATCATAATCCTGTGCTTCTTCAAATAACAGACATCATTGTTTCTTTTCTCTGTTGCAGTTTTACCTAGGAATAGAATTAGCTGCTATTTTTTTCTTCTCTACCGCTTTGTTTTAATCCAACCTTCTATATGCGCCTTTTCTTCTGATTTAGATTTGATTGTATACTCACCTAAACTTAAATTATCTTCTAATATGGAAAATTTTAATAAAAATGTCAAAACCTCGCCTGAAAGAAGTGAGAATTAAATTATTTATATCAACAACGTATATGGTGAAAAGACGAAAATGTATGCAGACGTTTTTCTTTTCTCTAAGTTCCGAAGTTTTCTACGACTAACTTCTCTATTTAAATTTAGAAATGTATAGCGGACAATCGGTCAGTGGTTCAAGTTTGCTATCGGATGATGATGATGCACGTGAAACATCTGGCCGATCACGACGAGAATTCGATGAAATCGATGCTGTTCTATTTGGTAAGAGTGTTTTTTCTGTAAATATCACATATAATCATATATCAATGTTGATGATTTTTCTTAGATGAGTCATCACCGAAACGAACGTCTTACAAGAAAATTTATGATGAATGGTCAGCTAAACCTCATTTTCGAATACGTGGAAAAATGTGTGAAATTGAGACAATGCCTCAACAACCACAACTAAGACGAAAATCTCAAGACAAAATTGATCAGGAATGTAACAAAGAAAATATGTCAACGCCATTATTTGATATGTCAACAAAATTCACAGCTGACGATTTGAATGTATGTGTGAGCATATGTTTCTATTGGATAAAGTATTGTTTTATGTTCACATCATTGAAGATAGCCAAACCGTATTAGTTTCAGTAGAATGTTCAGTTATATTTACTCTGCGTTTTTTTGGTCTCTGTTTTAGGCTGCGTCAGATTTGGATAATGGTCGTTCATCTATTGATTCGATTGAAGGTTCAGAGTTAACAAATTCTGATTTGGATGATCAAAAGGACAGAGATCTTGACGATAACGATCAATTTACAGATGGCATGAAAAATAATTCATTTAGTACGAATGACGATGATGATGAAGATAGTTCGCAGTTATCTAATCGTAATTTAAAAAATCAACGCCGTAAACAACAACTACAACCTCCTCCGTCGGCCGCTCCTCCAATCAGATGTATGAAAGACAGTGTTGTATCAACATTAGCTAACTTAATATTAAAACAATTTTTTATCGATTATCAACCATTATTCAATCGTTACGCGAAACTCGTTTGTCAAAAAAATGGTATAATATTAACACCATTACCTGGCATATCAACAACCATCATTGATCGTCTACCACGATCCTTGAGACCATATTCTTTACCACCTAGATCACTATCACAAAATCGGTTTTCGTTACCGACATCCACTTCAATAACAGCGACGACACTAATGACTAGTAACAATAGTATCATATCTTCAAATACTCAAGATTTAATAAAAGGTTTACGTTCGACACCTGACCCATCTGACATTAGTTTAACTGGTCTACTAAGAGTAACACCTTGTCGTTTTTCGAATGTTTATCAGACTACACCACCTATAACTAACGCAACAGCGACGTCAACAAATGCCACAACATCTCCTCGAAAACCTCCCGAACGAATTTTAACATCATCAGCTGTTGAAAAACGTCAACCACAAATTAATTTAATCTCAATGATTGGAACTGCCGTTGGATCTTTAGCAGGCAACACTAGTTCGGTTATTAACATTGGAAACAATCTCATTTCATTAAATATTTCCAATAATCCCTCTACGGCATCAGCTACAGCCGCTCTCACTACAACTGGTACATCATCATCTTCTAGTGGTATACCAACATCAGTTACAACAATCGCCACCTTCAATACGTCGAATAATAGTAACAGTGGTAATAATAATCCAAATCATCGCGCTTGGCCTTCTGCAACATCCGCCTCTACAAGATATCGTTCAGCTACAATTATTAATGACATGCGTTTACCCCCGATTACTGTTGAACCATTAAAAGTAAGTTTAACATCTGAGCAGTTACAATTGCATCGGTCAAATACATCGACAATAAATAGTATGAATAACAACGTAGGAACAGTAGCGCTTATATCAAGTAATAATAACAACAATAGTACTAGTTTTGGTATTGATCGTGCAGTTAGTGGAACAAGTACCGGTTCAAATCTTTCATTTTGTCAAGCATTTCCTCTTTCAAATAATAATAGTGCAAACTTAAATAATAAATTACGTACATCTAACGTTTTAAAATTTTCTGCTCGTACATTGCCACCAGGTGATTTTGTACGCGGACGACCAATTGAAGCACATATTTCTCGACCTGTTGCATCGGCAAAAGACAGTATTGTGACAACAACAAATTTACAATCAGTCACTAGTCCTACCCGCTCAGTAACCAGGGGATCGAATAGTTCAAATTCACGTCAAACTAAATTAAACAACAATACTCGAGCGCCGAAACAACAACAACAATTTTCCACGCCAATCAAGATAAGCGCTCCGCACATGTGGTAACTGAAAATTTATGCATAGAACAAATTAATTTTTAAAGTTGATATTGATACTTGTTTTTTAATTGCGACTGATACTTTGTCTACGCATATGAGTGTGCATGCTTTCTTTTTGATTTTTATTTGAAATAAGTAATACTACTAAACAACGAAAATATATAACTATTTTGAGTTATATATGATGAACATTGCATCATTCACATTTTCTTTTATCCTTCATGAGCACCAGCATTACCGTCAGAAGTCACCCAAGGATTTGTCGATGAAAACTTTAGTTATTTAGAAAATACAATGCAAATTTGATAAGCAACGTGCATTTAACTAACCATTTTTTCTGAGTCAATACACTTCTCATAATGACAATCTTTTTTGTTTATTGTGTATACGTATATCCATTATAATATTACTTTTTTCCTAAAAATTGTTTTCTTTATTTCTTGTTACACTGGAAGCTCGACACGTGATCAATTGTTTTTTCTCAGATCATGTTTTATTATAGATAATTTCTGATGCTAATTATGAACCCGGTATTCGTTTGTCCTCATATACTTTTCTTGGATAAATCTACAGAAGCTGAGTGTGTAGTAAACCATCATGAGTCCGATACATTTTGTTACTGTTATATTATAGAGCATATTGAATTGTCTACGTAGAAAGGCTTTCGAAACTAACGGATTAGTTTTTCTAGAGCGATAAAACTTCCATTGGATAAAAGGTGAAAAGTCTAGATTTTTGATTAAATTAAAAAGTACAGGAAACCGGTTCATCTTTCTATGTGGACAACTCAATATGTTCTAT